ACAAAACGTATGCTGGGGGTGGGGGTTGAAGGCATGTGTACGCTTTTAAGAAAGTACAAAAATGACGATTTGGAAATGTTAGCCTGCGTTTTTATGTCTGGCCATTTCCCTAGAAAGCCAAAGTTTACCGTTATATATTCACTGGTAAATATTCAGTTTATCAATTGTTTGTACACAGCGTCATCTTACATCCCTGATTAACAATGTGTTGATAAGCATTGTGTACATATAAACAATTTCAAAATACAAGGGAAATGCACTCTGGCTCGTAAATTTGAATGAACTGTAAGCCAGTACAGTAACCACAGCTTGACACTGGCAGTAGGGTAGCAGTATTGGGACCATGTGTTTCCAGAGATCCCAACTTGGAGAAGTGAAATTTCTGGAGATTTAGACGTGGCGACAAATTATGCGCTTATGGCGCTTTCAATCAACGCGTAAATGTGAACTGACAAAACCATAACAAATAAAACTGAACAAAAACTATGATAACACAATGTGTCCTGTTACAGTACATCTGTACAATATAATTTATTTACACTCTTTTAAATACCATATACATATGATATACTGTACTGTAATATTCTCTACAATGATTGACTTAATGCCTATTATTTGCCAATCTGACATTATGCTCAGAAGTTGCCCTTTTAGCTGCTTTCAATAAATCTGAGCTTGCATTAAGTTTGTAGCAATCAATATCAAAAAACATGTTCAGTTTACATGACATAAGATTTACTAGTGTCTTATGCGACAATCTAGCTCGGTATTGGGTCCTAATGTGACCCATGATGCTAAATGCACGTTCAACATTGCAATTGGAGTGAGGAAGAATTAGCAACAGTTTCATTAACCTGCTTAGCACTAGAAATCTTACAGCACCAGTTGTCATTGACTTTAGTTCTCCAACTTTACTCCAAAACTCACCTGGGAGCAATTGGGCATACCCTGGCACAAAACCTGCCAAATTGGTGGCCTGATAATCACTGACTTCTTCATCTAGTCTTATCAAATCCTCATCAGTAAAGCACTAAGGAAATTTAGAAGCCAGTGTGAATGTCATAGCATTAGTTACTTTCTCCTGAGAGGTTGGCAACAATATATCCAAATTATTTACAATTACATCATCTACAGGAAACTTCTCAATTACTTTGGTGTAACTCCTAACCAAAAATTGTCTTACATCAGTGTAGAACTTATTAATTACATTCGTTGGCAGGTCACAGACATCCTCGGTCATCATTAATAGTTTAGTTGCCCTGCCAACACCTAAATTTACATCATCCCATTGGTGATCCACATTGGTCTCATCAAGATCCTTAATACTACTACTCTCTCTAATGTACTGAGATTGCAGAAGCTTAATGGCAATTACTCTAAGCAGCTCCTCCACATAGTGCTTCAGTTTATATAAAACTGTAGTAACCTGCTGAAATGCCAGGTTAAATGTGTCAAACACTGGTGTCACTGAACTTAAAAAAGTAGCATACACCTTCATCATAGGATTACATAACTTCTCGTATATACTTCTACCCTTCTAGTTCTCTGCCCTAGAACCAAAGTAAGCCTTAAAGGCATCCCATTGCACTAGCAAGTGCTTTAATGATCTAACTAGAGATAGCCATCTTGTAGGGCAATGCTTCATTACCCTCTCCTGTGCAATATTGTAGAAATCCTGAAACTCCTTTAGCTCCTCCCTTCTCTTGCTGCTTTTTTCAAAGTAGTAGTAAATGTCATTGATCAGTGACTCTGGGCAGTAACTCAACTCTTTGTAGGCTGCTTTGATACAAATGTTCACCAGATGGCTTGGGCAGCCCACACTATATACGTTAGGAGCCTTCTCTTTGACTTTCGTTAAAACAGATGCTCGTTTACCTATCATCACGTTACAATTATCAGACGAAAATCCTACAACATTGTCCCATAGTAGTCCACTGCTACAAAGAGAGCCATCCACAACATCAAAGATTTTCTGGGCTGTTGCTACATTGCAAATGGCATGTCAAGAAAACCAACGCTTACTTTCCCCAACTCTTCGTTGAAGTATCGCACCAAAATCGCACATTCCTTCTGGCACAGTATATCATTGGATTCATCTAGCATTAATGTAAACGGCTGTCTACGGTCTCTCAGGCAGGAAAACATTACTTTGGATGCTTCTGGTTCTAAAAAGAACAAAAAATATAAAACAGAATTTAGAATATTTTATATAATAATACAAATTCTATGTATTAACCTACAGTTGAACTTACCCAAGTCGCATCAAAAAATGCATTGAAAATTTGTTTGACATGGATAACATTCCGCTTCTACAGATCATCAATTAATGGAAACATAAGCATTTTTGGAATGTAAAATAAGATCAACTTAAAAAATATATTCTAGTTAGGCAAGGCAGACTTAGGCAAATTGAAATGTAGTAGTAAATAAAAAAGTGCTTCTACTTTCAGTTGTAAGTAATTTTCAATATAATTAAATAATCAGAAAGGCTCTCATTTTGGCTAATAATTAATACAAAGAAAGCAGGCCTGTTAAGATATTTAATATGTTACTGCACACTTATACCATCATTAATTTATTTATTCTCATAAGGGGGGGGGCCGAAATTTGGGCCGATCGACACAACAATGTCATAGGGGGTCCAGGGGCCTGCCCCCGCGAAATTGTTGTGTTCTAGACGCCCGAAAATAACATTTGAGGCGTTGTGGGCTATCATTCTTTTCTTTTTCTTTCTTTTTTTCCCTTTTTTTCCCTCCCAAAAGTGGGGGCCGGGGCCGGGCTGCCCCCCCCTAAATCCGCCCCTGTATACAGTAATTAATTTATTTATTCTCATAAATACTTTTAATTGATCCAAAACATATTAAAATAATTTATCTTAATATCAACAGCAGTATGAGAGATTAATAAAAGAAAAACTCACCTAATGAATTCTCAGTTATTGCTGCAGTTTTCGTGTAAGAGCACTTGTACTCTTTGGCCACCTCGGAGTCTGGAAACATCTGCTTAAAAAGTTGGTTTGCATGCTGAGCAAATGGAAGGTTATGTTCCAGGATGAAGGCCGTAAATAATACCTCTGCTCTGATTAATTTCTCTTTCAATGAACCACTCTGTGAGGTGAACTTGAATGTCTGGTTCTGGGCAATTTCTTTCGCACATTTCTCATGCTTCTTTCCCTGTAAGTTAAAAAATAATTTTTAATTACATTAATTCACGGACATTAAAACTTAGATATATATTGTTATATAAGGCATAGAGAAATTATGCGCAAAACAGAAGTTAAAATGACACCAGGCCTAGGCCTAACTAGCCTAAGGCACGCACAAAAAAATTGCAAGCCTTTGCCTAGGGCTAGGGTCGCCTAATAATTAATTACATAATTAACAGAAAGCAATTTTCTTGCTACACGGCAGGCACTGCAAAACTTATTTTGTCGGCCACGATTTGCTAGTGAGTGTGAACACCAGGGTAGACAGCTAAACATGTATTGCTAGCTTAAAGCTAGGCTTATGCCGGGCCCTAATTAGTACTACGTCTAGGCTAGCCTCGAACAGCACCCCATGAGTCTGAGAGTCCTCCCCTAGCCCTAGCCCAGGCCTTAACTAGACTTAGCCTAGGTAGAGATAGGCCCCGGCTCTCCTAGCCTACAGCTTAAAATTTGAATGTAAAATCTTGCCTAAGTTTTAACATTCAGCGATGCAAACAAATCATATAATATATGAACAACGTATCAGGTTTTTTTTTTATATAATGAGAAAATCAATTTACCTTAATGTGTTTGTCAACATCGTTCTTTCCTCCATGACGTACAGTGAACACTAAATTACAAACGGTGCACTTTGCAGCATGCGAATCAGACTTGACCCCTATTATACATGGGTACATTTTCGTGAAATCTGGTTTAAATGAGCATGCGTACTTTGCCTTCTTCGGAGGAGGAGCAGGCATTTTCGAAGCAGTGTTTCAAATTCGGCGATGGCTTTTGCAGGATAGATAGTAATACTGGAATATATGTTTTCTTCTCAAAAATTTAACGAACTGTGACATATTGGCCCAAAAATTGCTCATTTTATGTTGTTGCCGGTCTCTAAAGTTTCCGACAAAAGCATAGCAAATTGCTTCGGTTGGGTTGGGTTGGTAGGTAGGTGTCAACCACAGTTTATCAAAAGATTAGGCTTAGGCCAAGCATTGTCTACTATAGTAAAGTTAATGTAAATGGGTGCGCCTAGATATTGCGTAATAGCACAACAACAAAGAATAAATAATTGCTTTGTTTTCAAGTGCCAGCGCAAATCCATCACTATTGTTTAGGTAGCATCTAGCATCTTGGCTAGTTTTGGGCTGAAAAATAAAGACCAGGGAGCATGATTTTTAACAATTTCGGGATATTTTTGAAAACTCCCAAAATTCGGGAGAAAACTGCTTTCGCGGGGGCGCAGGAGACGACCCAGAAAATCGGGAGAAACCCGTAACTTTCGGGAGAATTGGGATCTGTGTTTCACTGTGCTGTGAAAGCCTACCTTATTTTCTTCTCCCTTCTACTTCAGTAGGCCTAATTCCTACCTTTTAAATTCAATGGGCCTACATCACTCCCTCTATTTAACATTTTAAAATACAATTTATTATTTTGTATTCCATGGATACTCATGATGACATAAATTTTACATGTTATCTTAAAATTACTAAATACCAGCAATCCACAAGGAAGATTCAAGCCTAGGTGAAAGGTTAAACATGTGCTTCATTTGTTGTGCGTCAATTTTTCTTAAACTTGCTTTCTACTTGCTCCGAGTACTCAATTATTTGTCCATGTGGTAATAAATTTAAATAACATAAAATGTTTATTAATTATTGTTT